GCCAAGATCAAGCCACTGCACTCCAGCCTGGGTGACAGAGCAAGATTCCATCTCAAAAATAAAAGAATGGAATGGAGTGGAGTGGAGTGGACTGGAATGGAATGGAATCTCTTGACCCCATTTCCTTGACTATCCCCCCATTTCTTTGATCTGCTTTGCAAAAAATTATCTCTGCTTCCTGTTGTTCTTCTCCCATTCTGACTAAAATCCACTCTTGTCATGCTTTCACCCCTATCAGTGTGTCAGAACCATTCTTGTCAAGGTCAACAGTGACTTCATTTCTACTCAATCTAATTGTCAATTTCTAGTCTTCTTTCTTTTTTTTTTTTTTTTTTTTTGAGACGGAGTTTCGCTCTTGTTACCCAGGCTGGAGTGCAATGGCGCGATCTCGGCTCACCGCAACCTCCGCCTCCTGGGTTCAGGCAATTCTCCTGCCTCAGCCTCCTGAGTAGCTGGGATTACAGGCACGCACCACCATGCCCAGCTATTTTTTTTGTATTTTTAGTAGAGACGGGGTTTCACCATGTTGACCAGGATGGTCTCGATCTCTTGACCTCGTGATCCACCCGCCTCGGCCTCCCAAAGTTCTGGGATTACAGGCTTGAGCCACTGCGCCCGGCCTCTAGTCTTCTTTCTACCTGACATATGACAAGCTTTTGATGCAATTGACCATTTCTTCCTCTCTGATATACTTTTCCTCCTTAATTTCTAGGATATCACTCCCAATTTTTCTCCTACCTGACAGGTTATTCTTTTTCAGTCTCCTTTGGTGGTTCCTGCCTTCCCAGACCTCTTAATGTTGAAGGGCTCAGGCCTTACCCTTGGTGCTCTTCCTTGCCTACACTCCCTCCCTTGGTAATCATATCTCATAGTTTCAAGGCTTTAAATATAATCTATATTCCATTGATTCCAAAGTATTCATCTCTAGCCCAGACCTCTCTTCTGAACTCTATACATGTCTTCAACTACCTACTTAACATGTCTAAAACTGAACCCTGATCCTTCCTCCTGCCTCATTTAGAGACTTTGCCATCTCAGCTGATAGTAACTTCATCCTCCCAGTCTCAAAAGCAAAAATCCTGCAAGTCATTCTTAGAGTCATCAGGAAGTCTTGTTGGCTCTATCTTTAAAATATATGCAGACTCTGGGCCAGGCACGGTGGCTCGCGCCTTAATCCCAGCATTTTGGGAGGCCAAGGCAGGCAGATCTTGTAGTCAGGAGTTAGAGACCAGCCTGGCCAACATGGTGAAAGCCTGTCTCTACTAAAAATACAAAAATTAACCAGACATGGTGGCCAGCGCCTATAGTCCCAGTTTTTTGGGAGGCTGAGGCAGGAGAATCGCTTGAACCTGCAAGGCGGAGTTTTCAGTGTGCTGAGATCACACCACTGCACTCCAGCTTGGGCGACAGAATGAGACTGTCTCATGAAAAAAACAAAAACAAAACAAATATACACACACACACACAGACATGCACAGAATCTGGCTAGGCATAGTGGCTCACGCCAGTAATCCCAGTACTTTGGGAGGTAGAGGCAAGAGGATCACTTGAGTTTAGGAGTTTAAGAGCAGTGTGAGCAACATAGTGAAACCCTGACTCTACAAAAATAAAAATAAAAAATTAGTCAGGCTTGTGATGGCATACACCTGTGTTCCCAGCTACCCTGGAGGCTGAGGTGAGGGAATCACTTGAGCCTGGGAGATTGAGAGATTGAGGCTGCAGTGAACTGTGATCACTCCAGCCTGGGTGACAGAGCAAGACCCATCCCCTTTCTCTCTCTCTCTCTCTCTCTCTCTCTCTCTCTCTCTCTCTCTCTCTCTCTCTCTCCCTCTCTGTGTGTGTGTGTGTGTGTGTGTGTATGTATGTATTTGCAGAATCATCTTATCACTACCTCTACTCTTCAAGTTGCCGTAGTCTCTCCAGCCACTTACTGCAGTAGGTTCCTACCTTGGACCCTTGTTCCACCCTGAACATACACAGTGTCCAACAATCTGTTCTCAGCACTGCAGCCAGAGTGAAACATTTGCACTGCTTTGCTCAAAATCCTCCAAAGGCCTCTCATTTTACTCCAAGAAAAAGTCCTTGCAGTGTCTTACAAGGCCCTTCATGGTCTACACTGCCTCCCCATCCCTGCCGTTACTTCTCTAGCCCCATCCAGGGCTTCCTTTGTATTCTCAGACATGCCAGGTGTGCTCCTGGGTTTTCACACTGGCTGTTCCCTCTTCCTGGTATGCTCTTTTCCCGGAAATGCACATGGCTGATACCCTCACTTTCCAGTCTTTGTTTAAATGTCACCATCTCGGCCAGGCATGGTGGCTCATGCCTATAATCCCAGCGCTTTGGTAGGCTGAGGCGGATGGATCACCTGAGGTCTGGAGTTCAAGACCAGCCTGACCAACAGGGTTAAACCCTGTCTCTACTAAAAATTTGAAAATTAGCTGGGTGTCGTGGCTGGCGCCTGTAATCCCAACTACTCAGGAAGCTGAGGTAGGAGAATCACTTATACCCAGGAGGCGGAGGTTGCAATAAGCCAAGATTATGCCACTGCACTCCAGCCTGAGGGACAAGAGTGAGACTTCGTCTCAAAAATAAAAGTCACCATCTCAATGAGGTCTACATTTACCACCTTTTTAAAACCTGAAGTCAAAATAAATAAATACGTATTTAAAAAAAAAAAAAAAAAAACAGCTGGGCGCGGTGGCTCACGCCTGTAATCCCAGCACTTTGGGAGGCCGAGGCGGGTGGATCACGAAGACCATCCTGGTCAACATGGTGAAACCCCGTCCCTACTAAAAATACAAAAAATCAGCTGGGCATAGTGGTGCGTGTCTGTAATCCCAGCTACTAGGGAGGCTGAGGCTGGAGAATTGCCTGAACCCAGGAGGCAGAGGTTGTGGTGAGCCGAGATCGCGCCATTGCACTCCAGCCTGGGTAACGAGTGAAACTCCATCTCAAAAAAAAACAAAAAAACAAAACATGAAGTCGGCCACCATTCCCATTACTCCTTATTTCCCTTACCTGTTTTACTTTTTTTTAACCCCTATACTATGTATTACCTTCTAACATTCCATTTAATTTACACTAGAATATAAGCCACAGAAGGGCAGGAATCATGATTTCTTGTTTTATGGCATCTACCAAGCATGTGGAACAATGTTTAGGACATACTAGGCCTCTTGAAAAATACTTGTCAAATAATCATAGTTCTCTTTCTTGAGGACCCAAAATGCTTGTTTTTCACTCAATTTGCTTATCTAAGCAGACAGCAGGATAGGATAGGAAAAAGTAGGCTAATGATTGGGGTCTAGGGTCTAGACTGGGGGCCACACTTGCTATTTGTGTGACCATGGGCTAATTATAGTTGGGCTGGTTTCTGAAAGTTTATCAAGCTATATACTTATGATATATATTTTTTTGTATGTATATGTAAATTTTTGAAGTTTTCTCTGTAAGACTCGGAAGATAACTGGTAGTAACACTATGGGGAATATCTTCACATATTTTCTCTCTATATGTAGACTTTTTAGAATAAAATTGAGATTCTACATGCTTTTTTACAAAACCACACATCATGAATATTTTTTATAACATGAAATATTCCTGCAGGGCATGATTTTTAATAGTTATGCAAGTACTTTGAAAAGAATAAGACATTGGCTGTTTGTGGTGACTCACTCCTGTAATCTCAGCACTTTGGGAGGCCAGAGCAGATAAATTGCTTGAGTCCAGTAGTTCAAGACCAGCCTGGGCAACCTGGCGAAACCTCATTTCTACAAAAAAATAACAAAAATTAGCCAGGCATGGTGTCATGCACCTGTAGTCCCAATTACTTGGGAGGCTGAGGTGGAAGAACCACCAGTGCCCAGGAAGTTGAGTCTGCAGTGAGCTCTGATTGTGCCACTGCATTCCAGTCTGGGTGACAGAGTGAGACTCCGTTTTAAAAAAAAATAAAAACAGGCCGGGCGCGGTGGCTCAAGCCTGTAATCCCAGCACTTTGGGAGGCCGAGGCGGGTGGATCACGAGGTCAAGAGATCGATACCATCCTGGTCAACGTGGTGAAACCCTGCCTCTACTAAAAATACAAAAATTAGCTGGGCATGGTGGTGTGTGCCTGTAATCCCAGCTACTCAGGAGGCTGAGGTAGGAGAATTGCCTGAACCCAGGAGGCGGAGGTTGCGGTGAGCCGAGATCGCGCCATTGCACTCCAGCCTGGGTAACGAGAGCGAAACTCCTCCTCAAAAAAAAAAAATAAATAAATAAAAACAAAAATAAAAAGAATAAGACATCATGCAGTGTACCATGGAAATATCATTCTTCCTTTTTTTTTTTTTTTGAGACGGAGTTTTGCTCTTGTTACCCAGGCTGGAGTGCAATGGCGTGATCTCGGCTCACCGCAACCTCTGCCTCCTGGGTTCAAGCAATTCTCCTGCCTCAGCCTCCTGAGTAGCTGGGATTACAGGCACGCGCCACCATGCCCAGCTAATTTTTTGTATTTTTAGTAGAGACAGGGTTTCACCATGTTGACCAGGATTATTTCGATCTCTTGACCTCGTGATCCACCCGCCTCAGCCTCCCAAAGTGCTGGGATTACAGGCTTGAGTCACCGCACCTGGCTGTCATTCTTCCTTTTTTAAGAAGTTGAAGTTTTGCTGGGCGCGGTGGCTCAAGCCTGTAATCCCAGAACTTTGGGAGGCCGAGGCGGGTGGATCACAAGGTCAAGAGATCGAGACCATCCTGGTCAACATGGTGAAACCCCGTCTCTACTAAAAATACAAAAAATTAGCTGGGCATGGTGGCATGTGCCTGTAATCCCAGCTACTCAGGAGGCTGAGGCAGAAGAATTGCCTGAATCCAGGAGGCGGAGGTTGCGGTGAGCCGAGATCGCGCCATTGCACTCCAGCCTGGGTAACAAGAGCAAAACTCCGTCTCAAAAAAAAAAAAAAAAAAAAGAAGTTGAAGTTTTGTTTTAAAGGATTTTGATTTCTTCCTTTTTCCTGTAGGAGACATGGTCTCAAAGTATCGAGAACCTTTGATCCACACCTTCCTGAGGGGAGTGAGAGATCCTGATGGTGCTCACAGGGCTAGCAGCTTGGCCAACCTTGGGGAGCTGTGCCAGCGACTGGACTTTCTACTGGGCTCCGTGGTCCATGAGGTATTGTATTTTGATTCCTGTCTTTAAAGTGTATTTCACTTGGACCTATGATGCATTTTGGGTTTGGGAGTCAAGAGACCTGGGCTCTTTTTGCAGATCTGCCACTGCCTCCCTATGAGACAGGGCAAGTAAGTCATTGAACTTCCCAAGGCTTCATCTGTCACACATGTATATTGAAAATTATGTTAGTACAGTAGCTCACACCTGTAATCCCAGCACTTTAGAAGGCTGAGTCGGGTAGATTGCTTGAGGCCAGGAATCCAAAACCAGCCTGGTCAACACGGCGTAACCCTGTCTCTACTAAAATTACAAAAGTCAGCCAGGGGTGGTGGTGCATGCCTGTAATCCCAGCTACTCAGGAGGCTGAGGCAAGAGAATCGCTTGAACCTGGGAGGCGGAGGTTGCAGTGAGTCAAGATCATGCCACTACAATCCAGCCTGGGCAACAGAGCGAGACTCTGTATAAAAAAAACAAAAGCAAAATTATGTTAGTAAGGATTTCATAGTTGCAGCTGAGAGGAGGTCATCTTAACCTACCTTAAGCAATAAAAGATGATTTATCATAAAGATTCCCATGTAACTAACACAATTGGAGAAACCTTTAGGAAGAGTAGATAGAACTTTACCCTGAGTCTCCAGGCCATCTGTGAGTCTTATTTTCACTTACAGAAAAATCTCAGGCAAATACTCTGACCCTCTTTGGTCCAGGTACCCTGTGTTCAGGGGGATGGTGTTGTTTACCAAAAAAAAAAAACACTTAAGTTCCGTATTTTGCTCAGCATTTCACACCCAGTGCCTGCTATGTAGTAGCAGTAAATGATTGAAAAGATGAATGGTGAACAGTCAAAATGATAGCCATACAAGGTGTTGGAGATAGAAGCTCCTCTGGTTTCAGAGCTTTTTTATCATTATTATTATTTTTTGAAACAGAGTTTCACTCTGTCACCCAGGCTGGAGTGCAGTGGCACAATCTCAGCTCACTGCAACCTCTGCCTTCCAGGTTCAAGCTATTCTCCTGCCTCAGCTGTAGCTAGGACCGTAGACATGTGCCACCACACCCGACTAATTTTTGTATTTTTAGTAGAGATGGAGTTTTGCCATGTTGGTCAGGCTGGTCTCAAACTCATGACCTCAGGTGATCCGCCTGCCTCGGCCTCCTAAAGTGCTAGGATTACAGGCATGAGCCACCACACTCGAACTCAGAGTTTGTTATTTAATGAAATGTATCTCTCGCCCCTGGCCTCTATGAGTATCTTCCTCTAGCCCAGGGGTCTCCAAACTACAGCCCGAGGGCCGCATGCGGCCCCCTGAGGCCATTTATCTGGCCCCACCGCACTTTGGGAAGAGGCACCTCTTTCATTGGTGGTCAGTGAGAGGAGCACAGTATGTGGCAGAGCCGCAAAGCACCGCATAGCTCACGTACAGTACTACTTCTGGTGACGCGGGATGCACGCGTTATGGCTCTGGAAGCGTGTCATATGATGCACATCCGGTCTGCGGCAGCGGTGCCCCACATCACCGGAAGCAGTGTGAAATAACAGCAGAAGTAGGAAGAAAGGCAAAGCACTATAACCATTACTACACAGTACAGTGGCCCCCATACTCCCCCAAATGTACAACAACATAATGGGCCCTATAACCTCCCTTTGCCCAAAAGTCTCCACCTACATTACTACACACCGTGTTTCCCCTATTATAAGACCCTGTCTTATATTAATTTTACCCTCAAAAGACGGGAGCCATCTTATTTTTAGGAGGTGTCTTGTAATAGGGGAAACATGCAGCAGTGGGCTTCCCACGGAAGAGGCCTACCGCTGCTGCAGATGTCCAGGACACTGTATACACAGTGTCACAGGCTGATCACCGCCATCCCTGTATACAGCACTGGAGGCAGTGCTGGGCCTGTGACACTGTATACCGCTGTCTGAGATAGTGGAGGCAGCAGCACTGACTGTGAAGGGTGTCACACCTTGCATAGTCCGGCCCTCCAACGGTCTGAGGGACAGTGAACTGGCTCCCTGTGTAAAAAGTTTGGGGACCTCTGCTCTAGCCTCTTAAATTGTACCTTTGCCTTGTATGTATGTACTCATAAATATATCAATATATATATATTGAGTATCTACTGTGTGCACTCACTCTGCTATTTATAGATGATGATAGACAGAAAAAGACTAGTTAACATGTGGCCAGGAGTCTTTACTATCAATGTATATGACCACCTTAAATTGTTTTTTTGGAAGAAGATGCCTTATAAATTGATTATACATAAGTGAAATACAGTTTAAATTACCTCTTTTTTGAGATGGAGTCTCTTACTCTTTCACCAGGCTGGAGTGTGGTGGCGCATTCTTGGCACACTGCAACCCCTGTCTCCAAGATTCAAGTAATTCTCCCACATTAGCCTCTTGAGTAGCTGGGATTACAGGTACACGCCACCACATCCGGTTAATTTTTGTAGTTTTAGTAGACATAGGGTTTTGCCATGTTGACCAGGCTGGTCTCAAACTCCTGACCTCAAGTGATTTGCCTGCCTTGGCCTCCCGAAGTGCTGGGATTATAGGCATGAGCCACCACACCTGGCTAATTTTTCTATTTGTAGTAGAGCCAGGGTTTCACCATGTTGGCCAAGCTGGGCTTGAACTCCTGACCTGAGCTGATCCACCTGCCTCAGCCTCCCAAAATGTTAGGAATACAGGCATGAGCCACCACGCCTGACCACCTGTTTATTGATAAGAGATCTTCTCATATAGAGCACATAACTTCATAAGAACTACAACTTAGAAGACTGTAATGCTGGGTTCTTTTTACAACATTCAGTATGCTAGGGCTGACCATATTGAACATTGAATCAAACCTGTGTGTGTGTGTGTGTGTGTGTGTGTGTGTGTGTGTGTGTAGGGACAGGGTCTTGCTCTGTCATCTTGGCTGGAGTATAGTGGCACAATCACAGCTTGCCACAGCCTTGAACTCCTGGGCTCAAGCAGTCCTCCAACCTCAGCCTCACAGGTAGCTGGGACTACTGGCACATGCCGCCGCACTCAGCTAATCATTTTTTGTTTTCTTGTAGAAACAGGGTCTTACTATGTTGCCAAGACTGGTCTTGAATTCCTAGACTCAAGTGATCCTCCTGCCTTGGCCTCCCAAAGTGCTGGTGATGTAGGATTTTTCTTCTCAGTCACTTTGCAAGCCAGGGACCTCTGGCCAGGAACACCCCACCCTGGCCTCACCAGCCATGCTGGCATGCCCCAGCTCATCTGTGTTATAGCTTGTACCACATTCCGCAATTCCCAAGCTCTTGTACCACACCCAAGGAAAATGAGGATACACTGGACATTGAAGGGTGAGGAGGGTGGAGAATAATTATATTAAGTGATGAAACAGCTCTCAGCAGAGAAGGGAGCTGGAGAGAGGACATGAAGGGCAGGTTGTCTTCCACAATGTCAAGTTGTCTCTTCTATGGCATCCACCCATCTCCCCCTCTGCTGATGTCTGAGGCACAAGATTCATGCTGATTCATTTGTGAGTATGCAAAAAAAGGTTAAAACGAAGGCACCACTCAAGGGTGGGCGCAATAGTATAGGAAACCAATTAGGAAAGGGTAGGTATATGTAAAATAGGTGAATGGTGGGGACCAATCAGAGGAAAGTGTGTCAACAAGAAGACAAGTTTTCAATCCAGTCAGAATTTAACTTGTAGCTTGGTTTTGGGGTTTTAAACTCTCTTGGGCTTGGAGGTGGGGTTTCACCAGGTACCTGCCCCTATCTGCCTAGGCATTTGGCTGCCTCCTGTAGATATCACTGGGATTACAGGTGTCAGCCATTGCACCTGGCCTTTTTAAATTTTTCACTAGGTTGTTTTTAAGACAAGGTATGATGTCTCATTTTCTATTCTCAGCATAAATTTTAATTCTTTCTAGTGGAACCAAAACCTCCTGAACCCCTTTCAGTGTCATCCAAATCTTAAACTTCTTCTATTTCTGGATTAAAAAAAATTGTTCACAAATGAGCTATGCACGTTTTTTCCTTTTTTGACTTCAAACTTTTTTTTTTTGAGACAGAGTCTCACTCTGTCGTCCAGGCTAGAGTACAGTGGCGTGATCTCAGCTCACTGCAACCTCCGCCTCCCAGATTCAATCGATGCTCTTGCCTTAGCCTCCCAAGTAGCTGGGATTACAGGTACTCATCACCAGGTCCAGCTAATTTTTGAATTTTTAGTAGAGACAGGGTTTCACCATGTTGGCCAGACTGGTCTCAAACTCCTGACCTCAAGTGATCCGCCCACCTCAGCCTCCCAGAGTGCTGGGATTATAGGCATGAGCCACCCCACCCGCCAACTTCAAACTTTTCTTTGCCAAAATAGAAGAGTATACCACCAACGTTTACACTATAATCTTTCTCTCTGACACCAGCTTCTACATCTATAAAGTGTTTTGCAGCCAAACCAGACCATGGAGCCACTCTTCCATAACACCCAGAAGGAAGGACTATCTGAGTGTCCATTTTCACAAGAACTTTCTCTGTGGGTGATATTGTATCATAGGTCAATATGTCATAGCCGGCAGGCTGCATGGACCCCTGGGTTGAGGCCATGGGGTGTTCAGAGAGCAGGGCAAAGCAAGCTGCATGCTGCCCTCCTCTGTAGGCTGGGCCCGCTAGCTGGGGAAAACGGCATGTGTCATATGAAAGCAGGGCATGGCAGAATGAGAAGCTGAGTGGAGAGGATCAAATATTTTTGTTTGTTTGTGACGGAGTCTTGCTCTGTCACCCAGGCTGGAGTGCCGTGGTGCAGTCTCAACCCACTGCTGCAGTCTCAACTCACTGCTGCCTCTGCCTCCCAGGTTCCAGCGGTGAGAGGATCAAATCTTAAAAAGGACCTACTGTGGGGACTTTCTCCTTTTTTAATTTTTCTTTTTTTTTTTTTTTGAGATGGAATCTTGCTTTATTCTCCAGGCTGTAGTACAGTGGTGCAATTTCGGCTCATTACAACCCCCACCTCCTGGGT